AAGCTCAAGCCATCATTCTATCGATGAGTTTGGAGATGAGATTGTGGCCCCTAGCAATAGCTTGTTAGAACCACGCAGATTTCATCATAACCCACAACCTATAGTCACCCTGCCACCAGCCACATCCCTAGTCTTACCCTCTGCCCAACCTCCTTAGCCATACTTCAACACGTTCTTGAACTCATTGATCAATAGTATGCACCATAATTTGTAGAGCTCGCGACATTAAGAAAGGAACAACAATCGAACTTCAACACAATCATCGACACTCTCCATACCCTTACCACACAGTTATTCCCTCAACCAACACCTTCACCACAACCTCAATCGGAACCTCAACCTCTACCTCCACCAACCCAACCTCAACCTCCATCACTGCCACCACCTCCCACCGGGTAGTGATGTCTTTCCTTTTCAACTTTTTTGGTGTTTATCAAATAAGGGGAGAAAAGAATATGCTAAACCTTTTTGGGTAAATAAGTCAAGGGAAGTTCATTTGTTAAAGTCAGCACTTACAATAATTTATTCTTTCATTTAATTTTTGTTTCATTTTATTAAAAAAAGATGTTTGACTGTTGTTTCAGATTTTTTAGGAAGTTGTTAAACATGGAATCATTTCCCATGTATTTCTATTTTCCTACTTTGTGCAGTTTGAACTTTTGGTGTATTTAAGTGCTCATCAATTCAATAAAAGTGTAGCTTTTATTCGGAAAACCTCCAACAAATTGGTATCAGAGCTCTCTTCTTGAGGGACATGTGAAAAATCATTTTTTACCTCTATGGATTCAGAAACACCATACACAGCACTGGCATCACCCATTTTTGATGGTGAAGGCTATCATGTCTGGGCAACAAGGATGGAGGCTCATCTTAAGGCAAATGATCTTTGGGAAGCTGTGGAGGAGGACTATGAAGTTCTTCCATTACCTACAAACCCAACAGTGGCATAGATCAAAACTCATAAGGAGAGAAAATCAAGAAAATCGAAGGCACGAGCTTCATTATTTGTTGTCGTCTCTCCTGAAATCTTTCTTAGAATCATGACGATAAAATCAGTTTTTGATGTCTGGAATCTCTTAAAAAAGGAGTATGAAGACGATGAAAGGATTAAAGGAATGACAATTGTAAATCTTATTAGGGAGTTTGAATCCCAGAAGATGGATGAATCTGAGACAGTGAAGGAGTACTTTGACAAATTATTCAAAATCGTAAACAAAGGGAGATTACTTGGTTTTGAATTTCCTGATTCCATATTAGTACAAAAATTTCTTGTAACTATTCCTAAACGGTTTGAAGCTACCATTACTTCCTTGGAAAACTCCAAAAATCTGTCCAATATTAGTTTGGCAGAATTGCTAAATGCGTTGCAGAATTTCTAGGAATGGAAATAAATCAGAAAAATGGAGAAATATTCATCTGTTAAAAGAAGTATATTAAAAAAATTCTAAAAAAATATAAGATGTATGAATGCAAGAGCGTAGATACTCCAATGTGCTAGAAGGAGAAGTTGAGCAAAAAGGATGAAGCCGAACCAGTTGATGAAACTTTTTATAGAAGTCTACTTGGTTGCTTAATGTACTTCACAACTAATAGACCTGATATCTTACATTCTGTAAGTCTATTATCTAGATTTACAAATTGTGGAACTGAGACACATCTTATTGCTGCAAAAAGAGTTATGAGGTATGTGAAAGGAACATTAAATTTTGGAATCAAATTCTAAGCAAGTCAGAATGATACACTACAAGGATATTCTGACAATGACTATGGAGGTTCACTGGATGATTTGAAGAGCACTTCAAGCTACTGTTTCTTGTTTGGATCATGTGTGTACTCATGGTGTTGTAAAAAGAAAAATATTGTAGTACAATGTACATCAGAAGCTGAATTTATTGCAGCCAACGCTGCTGTAAATCAAGCCTTGTGGTTAAGAAAGATTTTGGTCGATTTAAATATGAAGCAAGAAAGATGCACTGAATTATTTATTGACAATCAAGCTGCTATTTCTATTTCAAGCAATCTTGTTTTTCATGGAAAAACCAATCATTTCAATATCAAATGATTCTTTCTCAGATAAGTGCAAAAAGAAGGTTCAATTAGCTTGACTTATTGAAAATTTGAATTGCAACTTGTTGATATATTTACCAAGCCTTTACCAAAAAGAAAGTTTGAATTTCTTAGAGAAAAACTTAGAGTTTCCAGCAACCAAAGTAAGGAGGGGTGTTAAAGTTCTACTTCAATTGCATCAGTTACAACAATTTATTCTTTCATTTAATTTTTGTTTTATTTTTTTAAAAAAGATGTTTGATTGTTTCAAACAGCTTGGTCAATTTCAGATGTTTTAGGAAGTTGTTAAACACGGAATCGTGTCCCATGTATTCCTATTTCCTTGCTTTGTGCAGTTTGAACTTTTGTTGTATTTAAAGTGCTCATCAATTCAATAAAAGTGTAGCTTTTACTCAGAAAACGTCCAACATCATTTAGTTATTGAGATAAAACAAAATTCTTACATTCATCATCATTTATGTTTTGTATTTCTTTTTTTTGCTTTGATTTTTTTATATAACATTCTGATTCATTGTGTTTAACGATAATATGCTTTGAATATGATATGTTGGGCTAAAATTCTCTGGTACTTTACATATATTGATTTATGACTTGGAGAAGTCATTCTTTTAATCATAATAACTTTGATGCATTGCATTTACGATATTAACTTTGATACATTACATTTGCAATATTTACTCTGATATCTATAAATTGCACATACTTTATTATAACATGCACTATGATATCGTGAAATGTCTTTGATGTTTTGATATCTTATGTTGTTTATATTGCTCTGGTAAAGTAATTCAATGAACTCTTTACCATATGTTCTGATTTCATGAAATGAAATTTAAAAAAACATTTTGCTTTGATATACTTCCTTGAAAAATCTTTCAGAAAAAGATAGTTAAACGATTAGCATGATTAAACTTAACATAGTGATAGTTGGGATGACCTGACTGCACATGAAAAAGAGATGGAGACTCTATAATGTGTAGAATGGTGGAGATTAGAAAGACCACGAGACTCACATTCTTTTCGATCATCTATCTCGTACTTTGTTCTTGTAAACAAAGAGAATATTTGGTAAGGAAAATACATAGTCAAGAGAACATGGTAAACAATGAATGGATAATAAGTTAAAAGATGACCTAGGGACATAACAAACATTATCAATGCTCCTAAACTTCAAAACATGTGTCACATGAATAAAAAATTTGTTTAAAAGAAGAGTGAAATGTACCATTGAAAATAATATATAATTAAACATTAATATCAATCACCTTTTGAATAATATGATTAAGATACCCTTAAACCAAAATTTTAATATTTAATGCCCAAGTTGCATTATTAATGTTATTTAACTTTTCAATAAACAAATACATACTAACATAGCTAGTATACATGAACAAACAAAAAACGACGAAATTTTTTCAACATATAATATCAAATTTAAAGTAATATTTTATCCTTTGAAATATATAACTCAATTTAATATATTTATATCTAACATTTAAAAATATCACTTTAAATTTATAATATTTAATTATTTAATTAAATTAAAATCTGAGTTTAGATTCATAACGTCAATGATATAAGTGCAAAATCAGTTATATTGCAGTACATATTAAATCTAATATAGCAACTAAAATCTGCAATATATATTAAAACTAATATAGCAACTAAAATTTGAACATTCTGCAATTCAATAATGTATTATTCTTTCTCCCTATCACGTTTACCCTTAAAACATCCAATCTCTTTCATACCTGGCTTAACATTTTTTGCTACTTTGTTGTCCTTTCTGGGATATTTTTATGTTTTGGCTATGCCAGCTTTGGCAATAAATTGAAAAGGAGGCTCATCATCCTCATCTTTATCTTGGATGTAATATTAATGATATGAGATTCATAATCTTTTGAAATCAAAGAGATTAGATATATATATATATATATATATATATATATATATATATATATTGTTTTCTTTTTTCTGATATTAAATAATTTAGTGGAATTCAAATTAAAATATCATTTTATTAATATAAAAATTCATCAAACAAATCTTAAAAATTTATTATATCTAGGTCGGTGTGCTATATGAAAAACCATAATATCTGTAAGAAAATCTCCAACGTGGGCGGGCCTAGGGCGTCTTTATCTTATCTTACGATTAAATAATATATTAGGTTTGCGTGGGTGAATTTTGTATGTATATAAAAAAAAATTAAATGTATTTAGAAAAAATTACATTAAATTTATGCATAGATATTTCTGGAATTTTTTTAAAATAAAAATTTTAATTTATACATTAGATAAAATTTTAGTTTATTAAAAAATCATTTAACTCTTTTTTCTAAAATTCGTTTCAGAAAACTTTTTAAAAAAAAGAAATTAACCGCAAAAATAAGCAATTTGTGGCTGCTGGGATTCGAGCCCAGGTCTCCACGGCCACAACGTGGAATTCTCACCACTAAACTACAGCCACTACAGATGTTACGAAAAGCTTACACTTAACTTTTGTCTGAATTCCACAAACATAACCGTTAATGACAGACCAAATACTCATAAAGGCCATCTAATTTTTACGAAGTTATATAATGATAAATAATACTATTTCGTATTTTTTTAAATACTATTTTGAAAAAATATTAATAGTGACGAACTAATTATACTATCAATTCGAAACAGGGTATCATAATCCTGAATTTTATGAACATCGTCAGAGAAGGACAAATATAATTATATTTTTTTCATAGGAACACAGTCAAGGAATGACTAACAAGAAATCACTTCATAGATTTTTTAAGTTCTTAATCAAAATCTATACAATATTATTTTTGTGAAAAATGTCATACATCATCACAGAACAGACTATTTTTTTTGTCATATGCTGTTAAATCTATTTGAATAAAGCTGTGTACAGAAGCAAGAACAAAACAAAATGCCCCATTCCGAAACATTATCATCATCATACTAATCTAAACCAAGGAAACTCAATTTAGGTCTCAAGAGTGAGTTTTCCAGATACCTTTTGAGGGTGTGGATTGTGTTATTTTTACAACTCTCTGTCTTGGTTGTTGCGTATTCTTTGTCAGCTTTTCTTCAGGGTTGTCATTTGCCTTCACCACATCAACTTTCACTATGTGATGATCTGAAGTCCCTTTGGAAGAAAGGACTAAATAGGAACCAGGAACAAACTTGTATGGAGAATTTGATGATGATAATATGTAATCTACCCTAGTTCCATACTTACATGTGCCTTGAACACCTGCATAATATTTCCAATTTTAGTGATCATAGTCATAACAGTAATAAATAAACATGTTTATTAGAGTTTGAAAATTTGTGTTTGTACTTTGGCCCTTGGCAATCATGACAACAGACTCGCATTCCCCTGCATAATCCTTTGCATCAGTGTAGTCTTTACTCTTGAGATATTTCATCACTTCAACCTTTGGTGTTGGCTTTCCAATCTCTTCATAGTACTGGACCCAGCAAAAAATTTCATTTCTACTTTTGTTACTTTTAAGATTGAGACCAAAAAGCAACAGAATAATAGAGGTACTACTTTACTGGCATGCATACCTTCACAATATCTGTCCATCTCTCTTGGGAGTAATCTGATTCATCCAGTGAATTAAGGCCTCCAGCTAAGATGTGAGGCTCATCACTGGATTGAATTATTGCATTTACCTGCTTCATTCGCCAATTCTCATCAAGATGATCAAGATGGGTACAGTAGAAGTTAAGCTCACCTACTTGAGGCACATCGATTGTGGCCTTCAAAACATTCCTGTGGATCAAATGTTAATTAATTAATCATAACTTTTTGGATGTCATGCTCATCCTTGTTGTTAAGTCATTCTCTAACCACTATGCTTTCACTCTCTAGAATGCTTCAATCCTTCTAACTAGGTTGCTTTCTGGGGTTGGAATTTGGATTTCCACAATCATTTTTCAATAGATGCGCACTAGCGATAGATTATGCCTTAGGAGGAAAGTAACAAATTTCTCAATATAATTATGATGAAACTTGAGCAACAAAAGTATATATTCTGACTGTTCTCCCAGCCCAGACAAACAGTACTTCATTTGCATCACACAGATTTGTTCCATACCAAACTTGAATTATTTTATGCTGCACACCGTACAAGTTTCATTCTTCAAAAACAAAAACCAGATAGAGTTGCCTTTTAGAGGAGTTGTTTACAGTATTCAAGGAAATAAGCCACCATTTGAATTTGGAGAATCTGACAGTTTATATAAAACAAGAAGAAAAAGCTGAAAGTGGTGTTCCTTGGTTGGAATATTCCATGATCACTAAATTATGCATCTATAAACTTGTAAAAAAATACGATTGAGGTTGAAAATAAAATATGAGTGTGAAGGGAACATGGTTGAACGGTGACAACAGAGAATCCCAATAAGGAGTAGGTGGGGATGAATCCTGCATCGCTGCCTACAGCTATTACAGTTGGCATGTCATGCATTTTGATCATTGCCGTTGCCACGTAGAAGAAAACAAGGAAAGAATCTAAGAGCAGTTTAAGAATTGATGTTAACGCTAAACTTTTTGCGTAAAGCTAAATGGGAAAGGTCGATCATTGCTTAAGCATTGGTTTGAAAGAGTGAATAGTCAGTGAATGAGAAAATCTTCTAGGTGGCTTTAAGAAACTTCCCATGTGTTAGTTTAAGAATTCTCTTTTGGTTCAAAAGTGATAGAATTATTGGTCACTTTATGAACAGAAAAGTGATTATCTTTCCATTTTTTTTTGCAGTGACAAGTTCCAAGAAGCTTCTTCGAAATACATACAAGGGCAGAAAACCAAAAAGTGTCTTAACTTTACTCCTTTTTCTTTAAAAAAATATTTTGGAGTCGTTACATTACTATATAAAAAATGAAAGGAAATACCTGCTACATGTATTTATTTAATGATAAAATAATAAACGCATTTTAATAAGGGTAGCAGGAAATGTACTGTTAGAATTAAGTGTAGAAATCAATTATTTTAAAATAAGTTAATTCTCGTGTTTAAATAGGTAATCAAAGATAAAATACAATGAAATGTAATAAATAAAAGAATTTATTTATAGATTTAAAACAATTATTAAAAAAAATCATCAAACTAGTTTAATTGAGATGACAGTTTACCAATGGAAGAACTAAATTAAAATAAGTAAATAATCTGAAGTTCCATTGGAGTTTGGTTTGAAGAATCAAAACTACTGTGCATTCATTTTCCATTTCAGTTCTGTTCCATTCCAGTGACACAAAAAGCTTAACATAAACAAAAGAAACTGCAGAAACAGAAACGGTGAAGAAGTGCAGCATTATAATGAAAAGTTAGTTAAAAAAACTGACCTGAAATCAGTGTGATCGAAGATTTGGTGAGAGACGCAGCGTTTGATGGGCCATTTGGACAAGACAGCATTGCCGTACTCAGGTGCCCAACTTTCGGCGAAGACGTAGTTCATTCCCAACGCCGCAGCCAAATCAGACAAAGGCTTCATCCCATTCTCTTCCTCAGCCTTCACATCTTGCAGACCCAAAACATCTGCGTCCACTTCCTTCAGAACCTCAACAACTGTTCTGTTACTCATGTGGGCCCCACCTCCCCCTACCGACCACGCCTTCAGCCCTTCCTTGTCGTGTTCCGAGAAGCTCGATTGTCGGCTTCGCAGCAGCGAAATCTCGTTGTCTGGTAAATTTATGGAAACCCTCATCTTCTGTCTGCTACCAACGTTCTCCTCTGCTCTGCTCTTCACTGATTGTGACTGCGATGGCGAATGTTTCAATATGCTTCTGGGCCGCGAATTCGCCTTCGAAGCGACGCCGTTTTGCTCCCCCAACTCGCGTGCAGCTTTCGGGAGCGCCGGGGCCATGGAGAACAGCGCGGCGTTGAATGTAGCGATCCGGATTGGCTTCGGAGTACCCAATTGCGCGTTAGGATGAACAGCCGCGGAAAGGTTTGGGCTTGGCTCGGTTTGGGCCTTTGGGGCGTTCTTTCCGAGCTTGCTGATCACTACTACTTTGGGCTTCGAACGGCGGCGAATTGGCCACCGGAGACGGCGGAGGAGGCGGCGGATGTTCTTGTTGAGGAGCTTGAGCATAGTGGAGAAGCCGGTCTGTGAAAAAAGAGGATCTTCCTTTGGAGAAATCATAAGATGTGGAGTTAATTAATTGCAGAGTTGTGACTTTTAACTCTGTCAGCCGATTACGTTTGGCGAGACATGCATTTTGTGTGAGAATGGAAGGACTGGTTGGATAATATACAGTGACTTGGAAGGAAAAACGAAGAAACAAAAACTAAGTATATAAATAAATATTTAAATGGATTAGATTAGGAACTAGTCGAAGGCTTGCTTTGCTTTCTGTTCAGAATTGAGTAGAAAAGGGGAAGAAGTCTTCAAGGAAATGGGTTGGTGCCATTTGGCATTTACGAATAAAAGCTTAGAAAAATGGAACCGTTATTTGGAAATGATGCCATAATTCAACAGAGAGACAAGAAAAAAGAGAAACAAGAAGATGCCTATGGGTATGCTATGGTGAGTGTGATGCTCATCCCCAACTGCTACCAAAAAAGAAAATATTATTGGTATGCTTTTAGTTGTGTAGTGGACACAACACACGCAAAGGTAATAATATCGTTTAGAGGCCATGTAAAACTTGCTGATGGAGTTTAAACTCGTTCATTTTTATAAATCATTCTCAATAGAGAAAAGTCGATCTGAGTATAAGCATTACATTGCCAAGTTCACAGCATCGTGATAACTTACAAGGCAGGTATGGTTTTCATATTTTTAATGTTTTTCATGTTTGACTAAGACAGAGAAGTAAGTGAAATAAGTGAAGGAAAAGAATACTAAATGGTAATAATGAAAGTGAATTAAATGAAGAAAGAAGTGGAGGTGGTGAGGGTGAGGGTGGACATGGAAGTGGGATTCTTATTTGGAACTCCACGTCACAGGAAACCCGGCGTACCCATCTCCCACGAACCTAACCTTCCCTTAACCATTACCATTTTACAAAATAATCTAAAGAGTAAAGACTGGAGTTCTGACTGTTGACTCTGACTCACTGCATAAGATGTGAGAAAAATAATCAGATACAATACAATAGAGTGTGAGCTGGACTGGGGTCCTTAAATCAAACAGCTTAAGAGCACAAATCAAGGTGGAATACCATACCAGGGGTCCTTCCACACAGTTTTCATCCATTTCTTTACAAACACCACAATGAAAATATTGTTTCATATATATATTTGGTTCCTCTTGCCTAGAAAAAATGATTTTATGTGAACGATATTGATTATGTGTACAGGTCCACCAATTTTGCGGAGGGACATGAAATGGTAATGTGGTATGTGAAAACAATAGAAGATGGAAATGGAATGTGCCTGAATATATTATTTATAGAAAACAATATAGTAAAACATGGAAGGTCTGTTTCACAGTGTACCCTACAGGCTTAATGCTCAACAGTTACACTGGCATAAGAATATATGCGTTTGCCATATAATGTAAAACTAATCATCACGTATAGTCACTTTCTGAAGGAAAAGAAGCACCAGAACAAGAATTCTGAAAGAGAAAGCCAGAGTAAAACTACCATATTTGTTATTGCAATATTGATTTGCTTTAATAACTTGTAAAATAGGTTGAGTTAGGTAATAATAATAACAATAATAATATTTTTGTAACATTATACGTATTGGAATTAGACCAAAATCAGTGATTAACGATAAATTGAAGTAGATTTTACAGTTTTTCATTAAGTATGGGGGATTTTAGTTTAGCATAGCTGATTTGTATACTTCCAAAATCTACTTACATGGATATTAAAAAAAATTACCAGAAGATAAATGGTGTGTTTTGAAGAATTCATGCTTTAAATTACATGTTTTTAAGAGAACTAATAATGCGACTCCGTAATGATTGGTTTTACCTATGAGGCTTAATTAGACATTTTAAATAAATTTAGGTATTTTAAATTTATTTCTTGTTTATTTTTTATTAAATATTCAAAATTTTATATGTAAGTAAAGTTTTTACATTTACCATATTAGATGTACATGAATACTTTTTTAATATTGTAGATGCAAGATAAAAATTTTAAAGCGTATACTCAACTAAGACTGATGCAGATTTGGCTATATTTATTTAATTAAAATTCAATAATCTATTATTCATTACCTAAAAGTTGTAATAAAGTTTATCATAATCATTTTCAATTTATTTGACTACGTCAAATTTATTATATGAATTTTCAAATAACAAAAATTTACTAAATAAAGTTTATAGTGACTTGGTGGGTGTTTTAGAGTTGATAGGTGTTTTAAAATAATGAAATTAAATGTTTTAAAGTTAAAATAATTCAATAAAATAAATAAAAAAATTTAAATTCGTCTCATTACTTAAAGACACAAATCATCTCTCTAAAACTCTTTCTCTACACTTCTTCTTGCTTCTCTTTAAAAATTCTAACTTCTCGATCTTCTGTTTAACGATCAGGAAGTTCCTAGGAATTCACGATAGAGTAATCTTTACTTTTATCCGATCAATTTTTAGTATAAAACAAGTAAGTTTCGATTCTTTTTTCTTTCATTTCTAATATGAAATCACACGTAGCGATCTTTCATCACATGTGTTTTAAGGTTTTTTATCTTAGTTCCTTGGTAATCTAAGGTACTATAGGACTCATTCCATTTCCACTTTGGTGTTTTGTAGGTGTTTTTAGAGTTCCTTGTGTTTCAAGAAATCGGTGAGGCATTTTTAGAGTTGTGACAACTTTCTTTTAAGGTAAGGGAGACTAGTCCTTTCTTTAGATTATGTATGTTGTGTATGTTTAATATATTCATGAGTGGTAAGATGATTTAAATGAAATTGTGAAAATTGTTCTAATATTTATTGTGTGTGAAAGATGATTATTGATAATATGATGCTTGGATGTTTGGTAATGTGTGATTTTAATATTGTTGTTGTCATAATGGTATGTAAATAAGTGATATTAGATTATTGGAATTGGATGATAAGTTAAGGAGTAAGGTGTTGTCAAATTCATAGGTATTTGTAATTGAAAATGGTTGGTTTAAGCAATCTGGTTTTTCATCGTTGGTTTGGTGGTATTTGAGACTTGTAAGATAGCTAGAATCTTAAATAGGAATAGATGGTATTCTTTTGGTTGGGTTTTGTGTGGTTTTAAACACAAATGGGAGGTTCGAGTAGTAAAATTTTGAAGTAAGGGGTTGGGACTGATTTGGAAAGTTTAGAGTCTATGTTTGAGTCAATTATGACTTGTTCTCACTATTGGTTTAATGAAATTAGTATTATAGGTAGGAGGTTTGAGTTTGGGTGAGTTTAAAGTAGTCCAGTTGGGTTTGAGGTAGTTAATTGAAGTTAGAGAAGTGTTTTCATATGTCTCTTAGTGCTTAGGAGGTATTACGAGTTAATTAAACTTCTTTAGAGGGTAGAAAAGGTCAAAATAGAAGTGTAGTATGTTCTGAGGTGTCGTTGAGGGCCCTTGAGCACCTTTTTTGCGTAAGCTTTGGACTTGAGCGTCCCTAGACGACCTTTTTCCGAGAAGAATTTGCTCGAGCGCCCCAGGCGCCCCATTCTAGTGAGTTTGGTGCTTAGGTGCCCTTTTTTCAAGCATTGAGCATTCCTTAGCCAATTTCTGAGTTTTTCAATTTTTGTTTGTCCTGTGTTTTCCTATGTACTGTTTTTGAATCCTTGACTTATGAGTAATGGTTTTATGTGTGTTCTGTGATGATACATGAGGTTGTATATATATTTATATATTTGAATGGAAAAGTTATGGAAATGAGTTCCAAAGAGTACTTTTTGTTGGATGTTTCAAGTATTGTTAGAATAAATGCAGGTAGCTCAGTCTTGGGAGTTATCCTAACACTCTAGTGGTCATTCATTCTCAAGTAGAGAGGATTGAAACATGTGGTGAGAGTAGTAGGAGGTCTTAGTCTAGGTGCTTACAGTATGACCTAAGACGAGGTACAAACTAATCTTGTGAGTGTGGTAGGGTGAAAGTCATTGAAAATGGTTTTGCAAAGCAGTAGACGCCACCTAAAGTGCACAACTTGTCATAGCTCAACGTTCATGCTAAATCTGGATAGTCTAGTCTAGGTCTTGCATGTTAAGATGTTTGGTTTGATTCATGTTATATATGATTTATGTATGCAATGTTTTAACTTTAATATGAATTGTTTTGTATCTAGCTTACCATTTTTCCTTGTATTTCATTGATATGTCTTAGTGTTTTGTTCGTCTTGGCTATGATCATCATGTGAGTGTGAGCAGAGAGTGATGAGGTGACGGTGGAACAAGTTTTGGAGGGAGGCTCTACAAATGTTTAGTTATCTTTAGTTAGCTGCTAGGTATATAGTTTTGTTTAGTTGGTTTGTATATAAAGTTTCTTTATGGTTATTTAAAGGATTGTAAATAACTTGATATTTTTATCTATCGACTGATCTACATTATTAAAATTGATATATAGTTCTTTTATAGTATTTATACTATATTTTAGGATGTTATATTATGAACAAAAATAATTTGTATAACTTTTTTTTGTTATATAATTTTGTTATTATAATTAATTATTTAAATTTTGAAAAAGTAATTATTAAAGAGATAAATTAGAATTTTTTTTAATATAAGTAATTATTTGAATTTAAAAAAGTGGTTACTAAAAGGTAAAATTGAAAAGGAAAATGTGGACATCCAAAAGATAAATCCTCTTTATATATAGTGAGAACACATGAATCTATCTGTACTTTTTCATGATAGTATAAAAATAATAAAATTATTATTATTATAATTATTAAATTAATGGTTAAATGTTTTTGGTCACTTAAATTAGTAAAAATTGAAATTAGTTTTTTTTTCAAAGGCCCAATTTAGTTTTCTAATTTTAGAAATACATGAAGTTAGTCATTTTAACCAAATTTTATTAAATTTATTTTATATTTTAAAGTATTTTATACTAGTATTTGAGTTGTTTTCACAATTTGACACATTTTCGCTTGCTAAAAAACATATTTGAAATGTCAAATAAACTTAATCAAATTTGATTAAAATGACTAAATTCACAAAGTTCTAAAGATACAACACTAAATTGGTACAAAGTTATGATGAGAGATTAGTTACAATTTTCACTAAAAATTAGGAAACAAAAAATATATTTAATCATAAATTAAACATTAAACATTTTTATAATTTTATTATAAATAGTTTTTATTTATTTTGTTGATAATTTTTTAATTAAAAATTGTCAAACTTATAAAAATGGTCAAATTGAAAAAAAAACGGTTAATATTTTTTTAAAAAAAGGTCACAAACATAAAATTGGTAAAATAACTATTTTGGTTTAAAAAATGCTTATTTTATTGGTAAAACAAAAATACAATTGTGAACACGAAAAAAAATTATCTTCGTAGAGATATAAACTATTCACTTTTTTTTATCTTTATATAATATTAGTTAAAACACATACGTTAAGCACATGTGTATTCTTATTTTTTTTATAATTAAAATAATAAAATTATTATTATTATTTGTAACATCCAAATAATAGTGTAACACTACCGTTTAAAACATTATACAATTGTTACATCAATTAGAGCACATGATTACTGCATTGCAGTCATCTCCAAAGATAAAATTAAAATCAAAGTAAATTCATATAAAGAAA